CCCCCCCAAGCTAAATGAAGAGCTGCTGGAGTCTGCACCCTCTTATGATCTTGCACTGGACAGGATGTTAAGGCCTTGTTCACACCAAATGCAGAGCAGATCCGGTCAGGTTTCTGCACACGCAGAATGTGCAATCCTTTTAGATGCGTTTTTGAAGCGTTTTTTAGTTTAACATGGGCTTTCAGTGTGTTCCAGGCATTTGCATGCGTTTTTGATGCGTTTGCAGATCCAGAGCAGGTAAAATGGGGCCTGCTGCAGTTTTTTTTTACCTGCTCTGGATCTGCACGCTGCGATGTGAACTGGAGCTCAAAATACCATAGGAATACATTGGACGCAGTTTTGATCCGGTCTGCACCTGCTCTGCTCTGGATCTGTTCCGCGCTTGGTGTGAACTAGCCCTTAGAGAATGGAGCCAAGAGAGCTGGAGGCAACTGTTTGGAAACATGGATTCATTATTGAGGACAAGTTTGAGAGTTTAATACTACTGTAAAGCAGGACCCCAGGGAAATGCTTAAAAACAGACATGATATTCATATCTGTGAAAATGTTTTACTGGTCAAAGGATTTGCAATTCTGTTTAGAGAGACTGGTGATTCATACATCTCTGCCATACTGCATTTAAAGGGGAATTAGCCTGACATAAGGGAAAGAGTGAACTGAATTGCAGGGGAAGACTTTCTTAGTGAAGATTTCATTGTAACAGCTTTGCCTGTTGGTGAGCAATCGTTACCAACACCGGTCAATTGTGAACCCCAATCTTACTAAAGCTCATGGGTGTCAGGCCCCCTTGCCAAGTTGCTAATTTTTAGGCAGTGACTGCAGCAAACAGCCACTGGGGGAATCAAGAGATTTTTCTCGTTAAGCCTGCACCCCACTTATAAAACTGGGAGCGCACCTTCATACAGAAAGCATGTCAGCAGAGTTAGCAGACATCTAGCTTTGGGCCCTGCGGCTTGAGTGGGAGTTAGGCTGTAAAGGCCTCTGCATTCTTGGGACCATGCTTGTGTCTGGAAAAGTGGAGGGATAAGGAGATGAGAGCTGTCAATCAAGGGTCTGTCTGCTTTCCCGATCGTGGTTGTGAATGAAGAGTGAGCAAGTTGACCAAAATAGGGTGTGATATTTTTATTGAAGTGATACTATTCATTCTCACAGGGTTTGACAGAATAGGTGACATGCTGGTTTAGCACCTAGGATTGTAAGGGTTTTTAACAATTTTTACTGACACTAAACTCAGGAGTTGAATCTTAAAAATAAATTTGAGTACCATATTAACATAAATATATCTTATTTGTGTATCACTCGGTTGTAGATCCTCAGATCATCTCTGAATTGGTGATGACACTGTCCTTCCGCAGGAGGGGCTTCTTTTGTCCCTGTGGGTGTTGTAAAGAAGGGTG